CATTTTATGCTTGTAATCTCAAACTCAAAGACAACAAAAACACAATCACCTTCTTCATTCTCATTCTCTGCTTGAAGTGTGGGTGCTGGTCTATGTTGAGAGTTGAAACGAAGCCTTAGAGGTGCTCCCTGCAAACCCTCCTCTGCTAACACTATCCCCGTACTAGTCTTGTTTATCATATATATTTTCTTTTTTACTCTTGATTGGGCTACCGGTTTTTTGTTGTTGAATATAGATTATTTAACTATGTTTTGGTTCCACTAACTCTAACATCATCATATCCAAAACCCAAGTTAAATACAATTATAGTCTACTTCATGTGTGTAAGTCCAGGGACATAGAGAATGGGTGGTTACTGGTTAGTTAAATTATCTGCTTGAAGTTAGTATATTGATATCAAAAAGCATAGTTTAGGAATTAGGACATGGGATTAGATTGTAAAATCATATATTCAGAAGTGAGTTTCTGCCTTGGCTTACTATATGGAATGTTATATATGGAGATTATGTCACAATGCTTTCTAGCTTTTTAGTACAGATAGTTACCAAGCTATCTGGTGAGGAGCTTTGTTGAATTCTTTCTCCATCAACATGTAATTTGTATAGTTTCCTCTTATAAGAATTATATGGGAGTGATTAACAATAGGTTGTTGAATTCTAAACTGATTACTCAGTACTCATTTTTATCAAAGTTAAAATTGATTAGCAAAATATGATGTCATTTAAGGTCTTTGTCAGCAGATAATACCATGAAATGCTATATGAGCAGTAGCCAATGACTTTAATTAGTGAAAGGAAGAACTTTTACACTCAATGATTACTGGCAATCCTATGTAGAATTACAAAATAAAATACCAAGTATGATGAAAAGATCAAGAAAATATGTATCCTATCAATGATATTACAGCCGGATGCCATGAGAATCTTTCTCTGTCTTTCTTGCTTTCTTTGTTGCTTTCCTTCATTCTTTCTTGCTTCCTTCTTTCTTTTTTGCTTCCTTTCTTTCTTGATTTCTTTCCTTCTTTCTTTTTTTCTTTCTTTCTTGTTTGCTTCTTGATTTCTTTCATTCTTTCTTTCTTGCTTTCTTTATTTCTTGATTTCTTTCTTGCTTTCTTTCTTGATTTCTTTCTTTCTTTCTTGATTTCTTTCCTTCTTTCTTTCTTTCTTGATTTCTTTCCTTCTTTCTTTCTTTCTTGATTTCTTTCCTTCTTTCTTTCTTTCTTGATTTCTTTCTTTCCTTCTTTCTTTCGTTCCTTCTTTCCTTCCTTCCTTCTTTCTTTCTTTCTTTCCTTCCTTCTTTTGTATGAATCAGATAGATTTGGAACACATTAGGACTAGTTGTTCTGTTTTGATTCCTTTCCTCTTAATCCTTACAATTCAATACTGATGTTGCCAACATTTTGAAGGAATAGTACCTCTTTCGTGGCCTAACGGGATTAAGATTGCACTTGGTGCAGCAAAAGGATTGGCTTTCCTGCACAATGGTCCAGAACCAGTCATTTACAGAGATTTTAAAACATCAAACATTTTGCTTGCATGGTATGTGGTTAGTGATATCAGTGTCTAAGAAGCTTTCTTTATTATTTATTGATTATTAATATGTAGTGTTTTGTAGGAGTATAACTCGGAGCTTTCAGATTTTGGTCTAGCAAAAGCTGGGCCACAAGGAGACATGACACATTTTTCTACCAGAGTTGTTGGAACTTATGGTTATGCTGCTCCATAAAATGTCATGACAGGCAAAAATGTAACAGTATGTAGCTTGAAAAGATCTTAGCATCCGACTCAGCACAAGAGCTTCTTCAAATCTTGTGCTTAAAGTCACATAATGGATTATAATTTATGCTACGAAGCAGAATGTTTGTAAGCATACCAATCATTCCAAAAAGCAATTGAATCATGTGCTGAGCTGCAATGGATTATGGAATGGTCCTCAGGATTTCATGTGAAGATGATAAAGTGATTGACTTGATATTTCTGTTTTGTTAGATGCTATGTTGACATATATCTTTTAACTTCAATCCTCCCAACACTGGAAACACATAAGCAAGTTCTACAACTAGATGTGATCTATGGGTTTGGTAATTTACTAACTAGCAAGTATAATATACTCTGATGACACCTTAAATTTTATTTCTAGTATCAAGAAAAAGAAAAAGCTTGCATGGAATACAAAAAGTTTAAACATGCTGAAATTTTTACCCCAAACTCATGTATCCAGGCACCATAATATATGGCTTAGAAGCCATTACATGACCTTTGAGAGCTAACTAATTGTATGATTTATGTTTTTTTCTTTTTTCTACCAGGACACTTGACTGCTAAAAGTGATGTTTATAGCTTTGGGGTTGTGTTACTTGAGATTTTAACAAGACAAAGATCAATAGACAAGAAACGCCCAAGTGGCAAACAAAATCTTGTTTCGCGGGCTAGGCCATGTTTAGCTGACAAGAGAAAGCTATACCAACTTGCCTTGGAACTACATCATTCTCTAAAAGGGGTGCAGAAAAATTCCCAGTTATCCTATAACTGCATCAGTAGAGACCCCAAATGCCGCCCTAGCATGGATGAAGTTGTGAAGGCTATGACTCCACTGCAGGATCTTAATGACCTTGCAATCTTGAATTATGACCTTTCCTTAAGTGCTATAAAACCAAATCATACTTGTAGTGTAAAGTGTAAACACAAAATTTGCTTGTTCACCTCAGCTAGCTACAGTATTCTGCATCTTCAGTATAATAAATTGCAACATGTGCTCATTATACACTTTACAACAATAACTGGGCAGAAAGTTGAGGCCAATAAGCAAGATATTCTTAAGCTGTTTGATATCCCTTCTTGTTTGGGCACACGCGTTGAAGGAAAAGGCTATCCTACCCTCTATATATAGCATCTATCCTGATAATGATCTAGAAAATTGAATCGGCATATATGTTTGTTACCATATTAGAGAGCATACATTATCGGTGGATTGCATTCTGTTAGTATCTCAGTGACAAATTAAGTTGGAACGAAGAACTTGACATTGCTTTACCTTATTCTTTCTTTTTTGCCCATAAGAAAGGTAGCTACACAGTTTCCTGTTTACTATGAAGCAGCAATTATTTGTAGATCTTGGTTACCACAAATTATGGAAACTTTTGCCACTCTTAGTATCAATCATCCTTTAATCTTTCGTTAACTCACACACTTCCTTCATTTCAAGTTCCCTAGCTAGCATGAGAGGTTATAGTTCTTTCTTATTTTTATTGTTTTGATATGTTTGATAAGATGTGTCACAACCATGCAAGTGGAGAACTTCTGGTTTTGTCAAAGGTTAGTCATCCATGATCAAATTAGTAATAAGTTTAATCCTAATAAGGAGTTCACCATTTGTGTTCATACATGATATAAATTAGGACTATAAGGGAAAGCACACAATAATAAATTAGGCTATAAAATATAATTTAATTAGAAGAGTGGAGGAGATAGCAAGAATCAAATTCTTAATCCACTTAATTGTGTAAACAAATTTTCACGCACTTCAATTTTGTTTCAAGGGATCTTAACATATTTAAGAAGTCTTATTCCACTAACAAATAAAACCAGTAAACAACATACACTACACTCTTTCAAGAGAGCAAGAAAAGAAAAAAGAAAACCAGCAATAATGCCATCTCAGTGGTTACATAGGTGGCTACGAAAGCCTTTTTCTCTTCCTTTATTATGCCAGCATGTGCATATCCAAGATAGTGGCTCCAAGATTCAGTGGCCAATTTTTTAACAGGTGGACAAAATAGGCAAGTTATATTTAATTTGACATATAGTATTATCACTCTATGATGAAAGAAAAAACTTCATTAAGTTCCATTCCTAACACTTCTTTTCTTCATAGTAGTCATCTTGGACCACTCAGCTTTGAATTATTATTTTTCTCCCATCAATCATATTATCATCCTTCTCTTTTTCGATATTCCTGAACTAGGAGCCTTATCAAACTGCCATGCAATTACTACAAATCGTTTACATGAAGTTGATTAAATGATGGAGACAAGTTATTTAACCAAGTTACTTTCATTAGAAGGATTATATATATTCCAAGTTTCTCACATATATATAGTCATTGGAAAAGTAAAACAAACCAAATGCATGGTCCATTTCTGAGTTGATGAAAAACAATGGAAAATTAAAATACATATAGCAATAATAGCATGGTAATGCATAACATCTATCTATAACATTCTATGCACATTATAAGATGCTGCAGGTGAAGGTTTTGCGGTGCACACATGAAACATTAGTAAGCTGAGTTGTGGAGCATATATATATATATAGGTACACACAAGTGTTATTGGCTGGCTTCCAATAAATCAAAAGGGAAGAGAAACCAAGATCATGAAATTTATACATTATACACAGGCATCTCAAAATTAATGACCACTTCTCCGGTTCTCCCACTTAACATTTGTTCCATACCTTCAGTCTGATCACCTTGTAATTAGTACCAATGACAAGAAACCAACACATACATACCCTTCAATTCATAATACAACCTCCTTCCGCAGATTTTTTCCGATTAGTATTTATAACTTCCGGTTAAAAGTTGAATGATTATATTTTTTATATTTACTCTTATTTAATATTTTATCCATCCATATAAATAGTGGGGGGAAAATTAATGACCCCATAAATGAAAATGGTATATATAAAATATACAATAAAGTAAATCAATATAATTATTATATTTTTTCATTGATGATATAGAAAGCTTCAAAGAGATGTAGTATTCACAATAAAGAAGATTGAATAAAAGTAGCCCCAACGGAAAGAGAAGAGCATTATTATACTTACCTGTGTGTGTCATGGGAAAATATCACAATTCCAATTGCACCTGAGCTTTCATAGGTTTGCAAGTTGCTCCAACTTGCTACAATTTCAGTATGGCTCAAGAGGGAAATGTTTGTTATCATAAGATCAATGGGTGAGAGAGAATCTGATGTGGTGAATGAGAAGGAAAGTGGTCAACAATAAAGTGATATTGGCGCGGCTCAATCTGAGATCGTATTTTACTGCTTCTACAATGTAAATTCGTCTTCAGATTGAACCTCACCAACATCGCTTTCTCTGCTTCCCTTATCCAAAGCATCATCATTAATATTCTCTCTTAAAGAGAAACCTGTTCTTATCAATACTCGTCCTAGTCCACTATAGACATGACTTGATCGATGACCATGTTCATATGAGTGGGGTTTGAAGAAAATATGAAATGGCTTTCATTCACTAGTTCTCTAATAGACCTATATAGCTTCCAAAAAGGAATGAAAAAGGTGTTTCAATATTAAAGAATCTCCCTCCATAGTCTCATTGTGTAACCATCAATGATCACTTCATTTGATTATAAAAAATTTCACCTAAATTATACATATATAATAGTCTTCTGAGTAATAAGATTAAAATATTGTCCTAGTTTAATTGTTGCACATTGATAGTCTTAAGGACAATAACAAAAATAGAGATAAACAGAATTTCTAAAATGAATAAATGATGCACACAAAAATATATCATAAATAATATAAATATATTATAAAAATAATATTAAAACTTTTTAGATAATGTCTTTATGATAAAATAAAAAAGAACATTAGGGTCCTTGTTGAAATAAAGCATGATTCATAATATTATGAAATATGATCATGGTGGAGCTAGAGGAAGGGGCGATCACATAAGGTTAGCTTTTAGCCACATCACTATGACTAATCACAAATTAAATTTTCAACTAATGGAGTCACTATCAATGCATGATCTGTTGCTAGCATATACATATTAGCAGCATGCCTAAATGAAAACTAATAAAGTGGAAAGCACAAAACCTCTAAATAGATTTATATTCCAAGGAAAATGAAGTGGGTTCTCCACGTACAAATCACGGGTAGATAAAAAATGGTAGGTAGACTAATGATAGAGGAAAGGGTTTTTAAGCCTTTGGTAATTTGTCGTTATATCCCATAGTTTGAATACACTGATTGGGCATGCTCACGTTGATGATGATCAAAATGGGGTTTCTTTCTTTTTCGAGGTCTCAATGGTGAATTAATGCAACTAGCTAATTAACTAGGGTTTGGGAAGGCCTCAATAGATCATACATATATATAAAGTATAGCATATATTCATAGCATCCAAAGAAGGGAAAAGGTTAGTGATGAATGAAATGTGATCAATATAATAAAATAAATGTTAGAGAAGAAGAGGAGGGTGGAAGAAGAGAAGTAGAAGTGAATGGAATGGTGGAGAAGTAGAGAATGTATATAGTTGTAGATTTTGCCTCGGGATGAGAAGGTGAAGAAGGTGAGTGGAATGATGTCAAGGGGAGCAACACTTACTTTAGGGTTTGTCATGCTTAGTTTGTACTCAATAAAATCAAAGGTCTTCTGTCTTTGCGCATGCACCTGAAATATTCTCCACACAAATGAAACACATCCCAAACAACTCCTTTAATTTGTATCCTTTCTTTGTAGCATTGATTATTATTGTTTTTTAGCTAGGACCCTTTTAGATCATGCTTGCATTTGATTATATATGCTATTGGTATGGCAGAATAAGATACTTGGCTTATATGTACCATGCTGTATGAATTAATCATGATTTTCGAAAAATATCCATGAAATATTAGTAGTTAGATACCTATTTTTCTAAATTGTGATTATATAGGATGGAGGTCGCAATATAATAGAGGTTATATTTATTATATATGTCTACCATAATGGTGAATGATTGTGAAAAATGCAAACTAATGTGCATTTGCTATTAATATGATTGAGCAGATGACTAAAAATGTAACATTTTTATCCATATATAATAACAGTTACCACGTGAATAGGCAATTTTAAACTCATGCAAAATATTTGAATAGGTAATTTTAAATTAAAGTTGTTTTCACGTGATTTTTTGTACAACCTCAAATAAATTTGATCACATTACCCTTCTAATTTTAAACAAATCTGGTTTTATTTCAAAAGAAATATTCCTTGAACAAACTGTATACAGAACATCACAACATAGATATGACCCATTAGGTGTGAGAAAAGGCAGTAAAAGTGAGGCGAATATATAACTATAAGTAAATAGTCATTATAGATTTGTTGGACTAATGAGGGTAGACATGTGTACTCAACTTCATTTTTTTACTTCAGACCATAGTTAGTTATCATTTTTTACTTTAAACTTTTGTATTTGTGTTATATTTGTTCTCATCATGAAAAAAATCAGGGTTCAGTTGCTTAATCCAAGGATTAAATTAAGTGGTGGAAGTTGTTAAGAATACATGGTAGAAAATAAAAGAATGTGGTCAAACTATGTGTTTGAGGGAAAGAAAATACTTTATAGAGATTGGGAACAGAATGCAGAATGTGAGGGAAGAAATGTGTCTAGAAATAATAACACAAACACGCATAACACACGCACAACAAATAGGTAAACGACCAAAAGCGCCCGGGGACACCGGCGCCTAAGTGGCCCTGCCTTGGGCCTCAACTAGGAGACACTCTTCTTGGGTTTTGATTTCCACTTTCTTCTTTTCCTCTCTATTCTTCCTCCACTTCCTTTCCTTTTCATTTCTAATTAAATGTCTTTTTTATTCTTTCTATATATCCTTATGCACCAAAATATATTCTTCCAACTCATGTTGCAAACCAATTATAATGAATCGAAACAAAAACAAAAAAAAATTTAATTTTTTTAATTAACATGACATATATTTTCTTTAGTATATGGATAGAGTTTGGAACATACTTTAAGAAAATAGACCTTTGTTAATCCTTATGTCCCTCTTTGAAAGATTTTGGGATGGAAAAGACGCTTTTATAAAAGGAGTAGTTCTAGCATGCTACCAAGTAGTTATGAATTTATGCACCAAATATGACTTGATTATAATTTAAGAAATTATTAAGCATTTTGAGTTTTTTTTTTACTGGAAACTCAAGTAATTAACTTATTTGATAATAAAAAGATAAAGTTACCTTTGTTGCAAATTTTCACTTTTTAACTTTGAAATATTATTTTAAAGACAAGTTCAATTAATTTTTATTTTATTTTCACAACATTCTTACTCAATTTTAAGAGTACGTAACAACAGTTTTTTATTATAGTTTTTTTAAATATATATGGCTCCATCACCAACATACCACCGGCCACCATCATTTCAATACCACCAATGAACCTCAATCACTGTAACACTTATTTCACAATGGTTATTACCATAACCAACATATATAACTCCAACCAATGTTATTAGTAACACTATTACCACCTCCTCTATCACTGTTATTATATTATAGTCGTAACTAACACAACCATTACTCTAACCATTATCACTACATATTTTTTAATGCAGTTAACACTTGAAAGAAAATAATTATTACTTTTCAGATGATAGCTTAAAATATGTATAAATTTATTCAAATAACTAGTATTAATTATGCTTTAGGAGTGTGTAAAAATTCCTACTGACCTAAAGCTAAGGAATGATTTTCTCTATTATAAGAGAGAAAAGTACATATAAATAAATGAAAAAAATAGTATGATTCAACATGTTTATCCCTTAGATATAATGATGAGGTGATATTTTTTATCCTTGCAAAAATAAAACCTACAATTTGCATAATGAGAGGATTTTTTTTCTATTGTTGAAGTGTAGTTGGTGCTCCAAAGCATGCAATATTTTTTTCTCTTATAAAGAGTGCCATGCATCTTTCTCATGATTTGTGGCAATATGTTTGCGTGCCACACTCCCCAACCATATTCTTCCACGCCTTAAACCATTCCATTTTTCACTTCTTTCCTTACCAGATCCTAGGATTTTCCATTCCAACTTGTTTCTTTTCCTTGGGGTAACTAAAGGCTGATCAGGGATGGTCAAAAGCTACCTATCACATGAATTAACTCTATTTTTGTGCTTTCATTTTTTGCCGTACTTAAAATTATAGTGATGGTTAAAGTGGTAAAAAGTGCAGGAGAAACATAAATTCTCAATGGTCAGAGTCTCAGATAGGTCAGAAGAATATGGTGGTCTTTTAAGCCTGTCTGATCTGATCAAAAGGACATGAAAGGTGGACATGGGACAGGGACATCTTTCTTAAAATAACCTAGATTTCTAAAAGCTTAAAGGGTCATGTTGGCCCTCTTCTAATGAAGAAAGCTAACATGCTTTCAAAGGAATAATTGAATGACTTTGTTCCTCTTTCTTTTTGCCTTTTTTTGTTACAATGCTATTCTCTTGAAACTTGACTAATTCTATTTATTATTATTTTTCCTTTTTTGAGAGGGCTATTTGATTGCTCAATAAACTTCTTACAATGTTATTTGTTCCCTTCTGATTTTTCTCTCTAGTATGTACCTAAAGCATTATAGGTTACAATAGTTAGGAGTATTAGAAAGCACTAACATCTTAAATATCCTGCTACCTCATCAAACACAAATAAGTACCGAGAGATGAGGGAAATAGAAAATATGGAGAGATAAAAAAAGTTCTATTAACCCATTGTACTATTGAAAATTCAAGTTTATCATCTCATTAATCATTAAATATTTAAATTTTTAGTATATGCATACTTTATTTAGTCTCTTATCCCTCTCATATTTCACTAAAATGAAGCCTCCCGTGCACTATGGACCTTTCTTTTATGCTTTATTTTGTGCATTGTTCTCTGAATTTAAGAAGAAAAAATAAAACTTACTGCGTGGAATATTGGATATGACGTAGGAGAATGTTTCAGTTTTGCATAGCAATCAGGTAAAGGTGAGTTTGTCTGTTTGTAGAGACAAGAAACACACCTCTCTTCACGAACACTAGTTGCTCCACCTTCTGTCTCTCTAGCAATTATCATTTTATGTTTTGGTTATGAAGTTGTCTACTTAATTCATGAAAGTGCAGCCTTACCACCTAGAACATTCCCTATACAAATCACATCAATTCTGCAGTTACTCCCAATTAAAGATAGTGGACGGTAACGGTTGATCAGTTTACCACTGCAATTAGCTACTAGTAGAGGGACAGTAGAAGCTAAGGCTTCTAAATTTAGAAAAGACAAATGCTTTCTAATTTCAATCAACATTTCTAGGAAAAACAAATA